GGCAAAAATGTGGAGTGGCTGAGGAATACAATTGTGCGAGAGATGTTGACGGATGTGTTGGGAGGTCTTTGACCATAGAGCTGAAGGTTGTCATGCAGCTTTCTTTTCATTTCAAGCAGCAAAATACTCGTGCTTTCTTTTCCCGTAGTAACGATAATATAAATTTCAAGTTTTGAGTTTATAGTTGTAAGTTTGTAACATATATATTTAGAGGATCACAGTTTGTAACATATAAATTTCAAATTGGCATCCATGGCTCAAATGGATATGCTGGGCTTTAGGACTAATACTAGAGACGACCATGAGGATTTATCATAATGCGGTCACATCCTGGATGCCATTTCGGAGGATTTATCCCAATGCAATGTGTGAGGATGTTGGATGTGAACTCTCTGAGGATTTATCCCAATGCGATCACATCCCGGGCATCAAAAAGCCAAAGGTGCTACTTTTTACATTCTTGTCTGATTGGCTTTCAACATAATATAACATCAAGTTTGTCAATAGATCACCAATTTATAGACACAATATTTTGACCTTGGACCTCTGGTGCAGCTGGGGATCATTCTTCCTGATATAGCCTATGCCTTTTTTCTCTCACACTCACAAGGCTCAGAAGGAAACCATGCTACTCTTGGACAAGGTCTAGTCTTGTTTGCATTTTCATATTTTATGAGGAGGAGTGATGTATAAAAATCTGTTTTGCTTCATTACCAGTTTATCATTGTCTCTGGTGTGCAGATCCTAGCTGAAAGGGTGTCCCTGTATGATGAAGGGAAAAGAGACTACTTTCATTTGGAAAGAATGCTGGTAGGACAAGATTTATCGACTTCCTGCGTGGGTTTTTTCATTGTCCTTTTTTTTATAACCTTCTTTCACTTTTTCTCATTCTTTCATTCTTTCTTTTCTTTTTCAAGGGTACTTAAGTCTTGGATATTCAACACCGTTCCTCCTATTGGGTTCATGTTATGTATCTGTCCTTGGATGCTGCCAAGGCTGCAGTGATTTCCGTGGGTGAAGAGATAGTGACTCTGGGACTGCCATCAGGAATCTGCCCCTGGTTTTTGCCTTCACCGGTTCAGGAAACGGTGCATTGCATATAAATCTCCTCTCATGGCCATCAACATTTCTGCAAGTGCAACTCGAGAACAAAATTTTTGACGTTGTATAGGTGGATTGCAGAGTTCAAATGTATCTTATTGTACTTATTTATATTTTTTTAACTCGATACTGTTTTTTTTAGTATCAGTCAGTTCGCATGATGCTGAGCACCATTTTTTTAGTACCACTCAGATAGCATGATGCAGGATTTTAATATTTCTTATGAAAACAAAATTCTGGTATCAAAATAGCTCTGATGTAACTATATTTCCTGTACTTTCTTCTGGCGCACAAGAGATTTTCAGCTTCTTCCTCGATGCTCATGCTTCTGTGGATCCTAGCATACTTCCAGAGGCGCGCGGCTGTACTATTTTTCAGAAAAACCGTAGTACAGCCGATCGGCTATACTATTTTTATTATTAAAAAATACGAGTATAACCGCGCGGCTATACTATTTATTTAAAAACACGAGAAGCGCCTAGCTCTTAGCGCCCACTTCGCCACGTGTCCAAAATTGTATAGCCGGGCGGCTATAGGGACCTGGTCGTATAGCCGCGTGGCTATACTATTTTTGTTATAAAAATCCGTGTATAGCCGAACGGCGATACTATTTATTTAAAAAAATAAAGGCCCGCCTGGCGGGTTAAGCCTATTCCGCCATGTGTCAAAAATAGTATAGCCGCACGGCTATAGAACCTAGGTCTGTGCAAAATACAGGATACATGACAACCCTGCTTGCTTCATACATATGCCAACTAAATGCGTAATTTAGTATATTCCAACCTTGAGTTGAATTTTTAAATAGGTTCAAAGTATTTACCTTAATTCAGATAAGTGAGAATTATTTGTGAGCGGTGCACTTACTGATCTCAAAGTACAGAGGCTGAGAGGCACAAAAATATTCAGTTTCATTGTCGAAAGCAACATAACATTTGGCATCTCGAAAACAAATATCATAACTTTGATTCTCAGAATAAACAGAAGCTGCTTGCTCACGAGCTCATAAAACTACAAGGTTATTACTGCTAATCAGAATTCTGGTACGGCCTTGCTGCTACCAAAGCATGACCTTGTATTTCTCTGTGTTTTTTCTTTTCTCATTTTTAAGTCCAAAAAAAAACAGTAAAATTTATTTTTAAAAAACCATTAGAAATGTCCCGAAGAGACAAGAAGGGCCTTCTACTCAACAGCATGATTCTTCTTGTAAAAAAGCCGAAGTTATACTCCATTTTCTATGTTCTCCTAAAATGACCAGTGTGGTCTTCCACTCAAATTAAGTAACAGAATGATCTTCCCCATAAACAAGAGAGAGAGAGAGAGAGAGAGAGAGAGAGAGGACACTACTAAAACCAAAATGATGTTGCATAGAAACAGTCACCATATAATTGGTAACAAGATTAGTTAAAAGACGTTATTACGGAGAATACTATGCTAAACTCCACAATTACAACGACTGCTAAAGCCAATCTATTTGTCTTGACTCTCTTAACTTATTATCCCTACATTGAGAAGCTGAATTTCTCAAACACAATTGGCTTCTTGCCTAACTACCTTGACAAGACCGCATGAAGACAAAGCCAAAAAGAACAATGTTTTTTTTTGCAAGAACCACCACCATAGCAAACTTCTCTTGAGTTCAACGTGCCTACAGTAAACTCTCTTGAGTTCAACGGGACCATCCTTGTTCTATACAAATACGTAGCAAAAGCACTTCGAAAAAAAGTAAATGTAAAAAACAGCAAAGATGTTTAAGAAAAGTAAATCACACATATGCTCGCTTGCATTTGCACATAAAACTTAGGAAAGAAGAGAAGTAGGAGGGAAGAATGGCCACCAGAATAGCTGCGATGAAAAATTATAATCCCAATACCTGATGATACATAAAGTCTCAGTGAAAAAAAAGCATCTCGTCATAATTTCTTCTTTTGAGAATGGAACGGGGAAAAATTCACCTTCATTTCCTTTTTCTGCATGACGACACCCCTCTGCCATACAAAGATGAATCCAGGTCATCCTACTGGCACAAGGAAGGAGTTTCAGTTTAAACGAAGGCATGGTTCCAATCAAATAAGTTACAAAGATTTGTTTCTGGTGAAGATTAATTCACAACTTCGTACGTAGAATGAGTTTCAAAGCCAAACCAAGACCAAGCAACGTTCTACTTTGATTTCTAAGTTGAATGCAATTTGTCTCTCTTTCCTCAAAGGACTGAATCACATAGAAGGTTTCAAAAGAGAAAAATATAAATAAAAGAAACTAGCACCACTTCAAAACAGAGTCGTTATCGAGACTAACAACAGAACTATAAAAACCCTATCAAACAAGTTAAAAACGTTAACAGCATCCAAAATCCAACAGTAGCTTCAATACCATGCCAAACAGACAAAATCCAAGTCAAGGAACCCTTACGCGCCAGTTGCTGTAGTTCCTAGAACTTGATGTCAAATATGCAGTGCAAGGACTATCGATGGAAACTGGACAAACAAGAGATCCACCATCTCAACACTAGATGGTGTAATTTAATATAATAATGAAAGCACACAACCATATTAGAATTCCCCGTGAGTGATTAGTGTGTCGTTTGCTTGTATAACGAAAAGTGATGCTTGACTCAGACCTTTGTTAGTTTGTTGCATAGATTTAGCCACCAACCCTGCACAATAATATAATAAAATGAGCAGCCTTTCTGACTTGTTAGGTGAAACGCCTCTGTGTATCAATCTATGCTAAGCCAAACCTAAATCCGACCAATACTTATTAGATACCAAAGCCCATAAGTGAAACACAGCGTTTCACTAACCCTATCTTCACCTTTTTTTGGACGAACCCTACCCTCAATTATCTCTCATCTCTCCACCTCCATCACCTCCCATCTCTCAGCCTTCATTTCTCTGCCTCCATCATCTCCTCTTGCGCGCCCTTGAAATAAGGTGAGCCCAGCAGCGGCTACGAAGAAAAGAAGAAAAATTCAAAGATACCTCTGACGAGTAGAGAAGAAGCCGTCGCCACCACTGGTTGGGTCGAGAAGAGTAGAGAACCAGCCACTCAACCAGCCCAGGCGGCCTAGGCAGGGGCCCAAGCGCCGCCTAACTCCTTGGCGCCTAGCCCTAACGTTTAGGGTGAACTCGCAGCGGTGTTCTCCCGCCTACCACCTAGGAGAGCTTAGGAGCCGCCTAGGTCGATTTTTCTGAGTTTCTTCTTCTTCTTCTTCTTCTTCTTTTTTTTTTTTTGGTGGTGTGGGGGGGTTAAAGAGATAAGAAAACATGAAAAAAGGGCTGGAAAGATGAAGAAAAATTAATAAAATAAAATAAAATTTATTTTTAATTTTACTCAACAATCATTTAACATTATTTGTCCTTACCATCCCTTAAATGTCATATGAATCATCGGATTTTTTACTGGCATTGGCCTAATGCATGAAAGCATTTGTGATAATAAGATTAGAACGGAATTGTTTCTGTTCTTAATATGGAGGATACATAAAGCCAAGGCAGAACTAAGCTGGTGGCTGTTGAGTTTTCTGCATATTTCTAACATAAAGCCAACTCACAACAACTAACAACTGCAAGAGTAAATCAGAACAATGCAATTAGATCACTCTCAACAAGTCAACAATTGTCATAGCATCCACTGTCCACAGAGAGAGAGAGAGAGAGAGAGAGAGAGAGAGGATCACATTCTCAGCCAAACTAGTAGCAAATTCTTCCCTCAAAGCATCTTCTCTCTTTTGTGTTTCTGTATTCGCACGAAAAAAAAAAAGACAGTAGAATGAAATTCTATCTGCCCTTAATATGGAAATGAGACAAAAGGCTAAGGCAAATTACCTCTAAAAAAGAATGAAATTGATAAGTCAAGCAGGACAAGTATCCTTGGACACATCAAATGCAATTCAATTTGTGCTCTCGGTGTGCAGAATGTCGCTTAAATGCACAGAGAGACAATGTGGGAAAATGAGAAATGGAAGGACACTTTTATAATATGCATTCCCAACAGTACTTCCTTCCTCCCAATTTAAGTTTTCTTCTGCAACAATAAACGATGAAAATGCAAGATCATATCAGAATATGTGGCTACTCAGTTGTATATTGTATCAAACTATATAACTTCTAGCTAGACAAAGATATCAATTCAAAAGTCAGCCTTAGTGGCAACTGGGGAAATCTCAGTTGTACGTACGAAATGCCACCTGAACTTATACATGAGTTTCAATTTGTCACATTAAAGAAAAATTTAAGAGAAATGTCACATTGATTTTTCAAAATCCATGATTTGTCATCTTACTTTAACACCATCCAATTTTCCATTCATTTTGAATGCTATTTTAGTCTTTCCATTTTTTTTTTGAAAAAAGAGAAAAAATAGACCTCTCTCTCCCTTTTCTCCCCCACCCCAACCTCACCCGCCCCCAAAACACATTACACAGGACCCCCCCTCCCCCTTCCCTCTTCCTCCCTCTCTCTGTGACCATGTATAAACAATTTTATAATGATTTTTTCATTTTTAAAATACCCTTGAAAATAGAAAAGACTAAAATACCCTTAAAATGGATCAAAAATTGGATTGTGTTAAAGTCAAATGATAAATCATGAATTTTGAAAAATTAAGGTGACATTTCTATTAAGTTTTTCTTTAAGGTGACAAATTGAAATTGAGGTATAAGTTCAGGTGACATGTCTACAAAAATCCCATAATTGAATGACAACCAAACCGTACAATCTAAAACCATTTGAGTTATAAATCCCTTATTGCACAGATACTTTAAAAGTACACGTTTTATATGTTAGAAGGAACGAAATTGAAGATCCCTTAAAGTACCCATAGTTAAACTAATCTTAATAGAGACGTTTAGCTCATTAATAAGACGAGCCCAACTCCTCTTTTAGGAAGAACGCTTCTTCCGTTTATCCTTTGCTATTAAATAATGAGTCTTTATCCTACTGACTGAATCCTCTCAATTTGCTTACAATGAACGGCTTCAAACAAAGGTGCGCAACTCATGAGATTCAAACAAAGGTGTGAATTTATTTTCGGTTAATTAATTTGAAGTTCGGGGATACTATACATTTGTAAATATCTGACATTTTGGTTATTCATATATTTTGATTCACTTTGCACCACGCTTCTTTCTTAAAGGACAGATGTGTTGAGAAAATCTTGTTTATACTCAATCTTATACATAGTTGTCCTTAATTATTCACACGGTTCATTATTTAGAGTATTGAATGACGATGGTAGGTTTGAAGTTCCAAATACTAATCTAAGACGAAAAACCTAAAATAGAATATTTAGGTATGAGATCAATTACTCTCCCTAATTAATCTAATTCAAGATTTTTTCAAGCATTCCCAACAATACTCATGTGTTAATGTGTTAATAAACACACGGAAAAACAGGAATTGGAATAATTCTAATATCAATTCCAGATAAATAAACATCCTATAACTCAAACTCTGACTAATGATTCTACACCGTATTGCAAATGTTCCGCATTTGTTAGGCCATTAGAGAAGACATTGTTTCTACGCAGGGAAGCATCCACATGGAAGAATCGTCGAGCAAAAACACTAATTATTCAGAAGATGAAGAAAATGAAGAACTTTTATCAAGAGTGTGGATAGAGTCCAAGAAGCTATGGCGCATAGTAGGTCCTAATATCATCAACCGCTTGGCTGGCTACTCCATGACCGTCATTACCCAAGCCTTTGCTGGCCACCTTGGCAACGTTGAACTTGCTTCCATTTCCATTGCCACCAATATCATTGTTGGCTTCGGTTTTGCTCTCGTGGTAATTATAGATTTAGTTTAGCATACCTCAATCTCTCAACTCACTCTAATATATACTTGGTTGATTTCACTCTTGACATTTTGCATGTATCTTTGTTAGGCCAATTACATTGGTCTAGGTCTCAGTCGATTGCAATTTTGGTTTTCAATTTGGCCATATGTGACAAATAGGGGAAGTGAGACAAACATATAGATATAGCCACCCTACACTCTGTAAATCGATAAAGAAGTGGGGAACAAGAGTCGAACTTAGGATCACTTGCAAAGAAAAGCTCTGATTTCATGTTAGACAATCACTATCCTCAAAAGCTTAAGCTGTCAGAAAATGGATATGGACCAACAATGTAAACCAAACTTACAAACATATGATATTGGCCTAATTGAAATTCCAAAAGAAAATTTGTGAGGAGACATTCTTCCTAAGAAATAAACCACAATGTGCAAATACTTTTCATTTTATATGTTTAATGAGTCATTTCTATGTCAAACTATAATTAATGAGTCATTTTATATGTTTTCATTTCTATATTAATGACACTTTTCATTTTTGTTTTGTTTTGTTTTTTTTTACAATCAATTAGTTAGGAATGGCAAGCGCCCTAGAGACGCTATGTGGGCAGGCCTTTGGGGCTAAAAGGTACCACATGTTGGGGACGTACATGCAAAGGTCATGGGTTGTGCTGTTCTTCTGCTGCATTCTCCTATTGCCTGTGTACATATTCGCCTCCCCGATTCTAAAACTGATGGGACAGTCCGATGATGTGGCAGAGCAGTCCGGCGTGGTGGCTCTGTGGCTTATACCCTTGCAATTCAGCTATGCGTTTCAGTTCCCATTGCAGAGGTTCTTGCAGAGCCAGCTCAAGAACTTAGTGACGTTGTGGTTTTCCTTGGCGGTTTTGGTGCTTCATGCAGTGACGAGTTGGGTTTTGGTGTATGAGTTGGATTTTGGGGTTGTGGGTGCGGCCATGGCTCTGGATATTTCATGGTGGGTTTGGGGGCTCGGCCTATTTTGGTATGTTTCATCTGGTAGGTGTCCGCAGAGTTGGGCTGGGTTCTCCACTCAGGCCTTTTCTGGGCTTTGGGAATTTGTCAAATTTTCTGCTGCTTCTGGGGTCATGCGCTGGTATTGAATCTCTTCCTTTGCTTTATTTTTTATTGTTTAAGAATTTTTTAAAATTTTTATATAAATTTATGTACATTTCTAGGTATATCATTCTTTACGAAAAGATGGTTTATTAACCACTTTTTTTAAGATTCCAACTATCCCTCTAACTTTAAGATAGTTTAGTAAAATTTAAATAGACTGAGGATAGGTACTTGAGGAAATTAATGTAGATACAACCATAAGATGTATATTAATTTCTAGCTATATTATGGATACAAATGTCAATACAAACTTCTTTTGTGGACACCAATACCCAATGTCCATTGATTTTTTTTTTAAGTAGTGTAAATGAGTTTTCAGCTATTTTTATATGTGCATATATATATATATATATATATCCATAATGCTACCTTTTGATTTCTGCAGCTTGGAATTCTGGAGCTATAGAATCCTAATTGTAATGACTGGATCCTTAGAGAAAGCAACTCTTGCTGTGGATGCCTTGGCAATTTGGTACAAGACCTCTCCTTCGGGACTGTGAACGGGACTATATATTGCTTGGATTTATCTTTTAAAATCCACACCTAATTAGGTTTAAGTTTTTAACTTTTCCTTCTGATATTACTTGGAGTCCATTTTGCAGCATGACTATAAGTGGGTGGGAGCTCATGATTCATTGGGCCTTCTTGGTTGGAACAGGGTACCATATTTTTTTAACCTTTTTATCTTCTTCTCAAAAATACGTACATATGCGTATTACACGTGAATTTACTAACTAAGGTTTCAACATGTTAATTCTTTCTAATTAATTCTTTAGCAGCCTTTTGAAAATCTTGTCATGAAATTCACAGAGTAAGAGTGGCAAATGAGTTGGGGGCTGGAAACTGGAAGGCAACTAAATTTGCAGCCAAGGTTTCTATGGCAGAATCTGTCTTCATCGGTTTATGCGTATGTGTAATTACAATCATACTCCATGACGAGTTTGCATACATATTCACATCCAGCATTGATGTCATCCAAGAAGTTGGTCAGATGTCATATCTCTTGGCAATGGCAATTCTACTTAATAGTATTCAACCCGTCCTGACAGGTTAATTTTGAGAATTCATGAAGCTCCTAATTAACAACAAATTAGTCCTAGTATAACCTTAATATTGGTTCTACGAGGTGCTAGTACTTTACCCAAAAAATTTTAAAAAGCATTTCTACTTGTAACTGTTTTAAAGTTTAATTGCAAATACAAGTGCTTCGTGAAAAATTTGAAAATGCACCTACCATTATCCGAAATGACTAAAAAAAAAATTTGTAATCCAAAAACACTTTAAACTTTTTTATGTGAAATGATGTTAGAAGTGTTTTTGGTTATTTGAAAGCGTTTTTATCCCTTCTGAAATCACTGTCAAACGTAACATTAGTGTGTTTTTTCCCTTCTATTAAATCAATAAAACAATTGTCTTTGTGTTCACAGGAATAGTTGTGGGCACAGGATTGCAAGCATGGGTTGCATACATAAATCTTTTCTGCTACTATATTATTGGGCTCCCACTTGCACTTGTGATGGGATGGATCCGCCACTTGGGTGTTTCGGTACATTTCGCTATGTTTCTCTTTGTTATTGCGCCAATTAAGAGCATCTCCAATAGATTAGCTAAACCCTTTCTAGTTTTGTTTTTTTATACTCAAATTCACCCCGAAAAAAAAAATCATAATGAAAAAATCATCCACCATGCTAGCTATCCATAAGTAGAATTTAGTTTTCTGAATAATGATTCAGTCTTATTAAAAAAACAATTAAATATTCAAAGTTAGTCAAAACTAGAGAATATGATCGGAGTAGAATTATTAAAGCGGCTAGTTATATTTAACTAACTGATTAGCATGTGCAAATTATTATAAAACAGGGTATATGGGGTGGGATGATCTTTGGTGGAACTGCTGTGCAAACGGTGATCTTGGCCATCGTGCTAATAAGACATGATTGGGAAAAGGAGGTATAAGAATTTGTATTTACTTGTCCTTATTCTGAATGCTTGCTAGCCCAAGTGTAGTTATTCTCCTATCCAATATTTATACTGTTGGATCAATTTTGCAGGCTCAGAAGGCTAGCCAGCGTGCAAAGAAGTGGCCAACGCCTAACCCTGACAATCAAATAGAGGAACATAAATAGAACAAAAATACATGAGCATTAAATCGAAATAATTTTTTTATAATTTTGATATAATCTGCAGGTTCAAATTTTGTAATCATATTCTAAGTAGTTTTCAATTCTTCCAGTGTGTCTCGGCTCCAATTGAATTTCTCATCAACTTGGCCTTATAAAGCAACTACATTTGTTATGGAGACTCTATTGAGTGGAAATTACTTCAGTTTTTTAATGCACCTTCAATTTTTTGCAAACTGTGCTAGGATGGGATCATTGCATCTCAATCAAGAGGAGCATATATGTGGAGTTGATTTGCTCACTTTTGTAAAAAAATAAAAAAGAAGTGAATTTGCCAAAGAAAAGAAGTTAGTTTGCTCAATCATGGAGCCCAAGTGCTTAATCATCTCAAGAAAAGTGCAGTCACTTGATTAAAGCAAAACAAAAGGCCAAAAAAGCTACGGGAAGTTAGGAAAGCACTGGTTTTTTGTCAAAAAGTAATGTGGACTGGGTTAAAGCAAAACCTGTACGACTGTTATCGGCAACGTTTAGGAAAACTTTAATACAAAAGGCTCTAAAAAACTTGTTATAAAAGCTGGTGGTGGCGAGACTTTACTTCACCGACCATTCTTTTGAGTCTTTGCCAGTAGCTTTCAACATCCATGCTCTCTGCTTTAATCATATTTCCCAATTTCCTAAAGGGAAAAAAACAAAAGAAGAAGATTATGTATGAACAATATATTATTTTAAATTTTATTTTACTAGTAAATGTCAAACTCAAAGATCAAGCCAAAGAAGTAGTTCAACGTATGTTCTTTAAAGGAATCATCGTCGAAAAGTAGTAGAACAGTAATGTGAGGTTTGTCCTACTTTCTTGAACAATTCATTGCATTATTGGGGATTAAGGTTGTGAGGTTAGGAAAACACTGGATTAGAAAAAGGGTCAAAAAACTTGTTATAGAAGTTGGTGGCGAGACTAATTACTTCACCAACCATTCTTTTCAGTCTTTTCCATTAGCTTTCAAGATCTCTACTCTCTGCTTTAATCATATTTCCCAGTTGTTCATCTGCACATCATTTTCCCTTTTGTTTTTCAAAATCTGTTATTCGGTACATTCTAACGCCAAGCCAACAAGCAACAACAATGGCTGAAGCATTGGTTTCCGTAGTGCTACAACAGCTGGCTTCCATCACCCTGGAGCAGATAGAAGAAGAGGTGAACCTGGTCGTCGGTGTCGACCAAGAAGTCCAAAATCTCATCCTCCATCTCCAGGCAGTTCAAGGTCTGCTCCAGGATGCAGAGGAGAGGCAAGTGAAGGAGGCCAACGTCAAGAATTGGCTGTACAATCTGAAAGACGCGTCGTACCAGATCAACGACGTCTTGGATGAGTGGAACACGGCCATTCTCAAGCATCACATGGAGAAGCAAGAAAAAGAAGGTGAGAATAATGATCTTGTCCTTGCTAAGAGGAATAAGGTACGGTTCTCCATTCCCTCCTTCCTCGGAAATATTCTTATCTATTTTGGTCAAATTGGCGATCGCATAATTATGCGTCATGACATTGCTAAGAGGATAAAAGAAATCAATGAAAGGCTAACTTGGATAGCCATTTTAAGAAACAATTATAACTTTCAAAGCACAGTAAGAGGCACCGAACAAGTTGAACGATCCAAAACCACTTCCTTTGTCGACGTGTCTACTATAATTGGTCGTGAAAAGGAAAAAGCGGAAATAATTAGGACGTTGAAAAGTGAGAGTGGTGATCAATTGGTGATCCCGATTGTAGGGATGGGAGGGTTGGGCAAGACTGCTTTTGCCCAATCTGTGTACAATGACCAAAATGTAACAACTCATTTCCACGAGAGAATATGGGTTTGTGTGTCTGACCCTTTTGAAGAGATTAAGATTGCCCAAGCCATCATTGAAGTTCTGAAAAAAGACGATGATCGAAAGAACTCAAATGTGTTTCAAATTTTGTTGAATTGTATATCTGAAAATATTCGTGATAAAAAGTTTCTCCTTATCTTAGATGATGTGTGGAATCCCACTGAATCGAACTGGAAACAATTAAAGGCAGCTTTGCAAAATGGTGACAAAAACAGTAGAATATTAGTGACCACACGGAAAAACAATGTTGCTAATATGATGGGAGAAACCAATGATCACATGATCAATTTGAATAAGTTGAGCGACAGAGATTGTTTGGAATTATTCCGTAGGATTGCATTCTTTGACAAAGAAATAGATGAGACTAAGTTGTTTGATGAAGATATTAAGACCAAGATTGCAAAAAAGGTTGATGGCTTGCCTCTAGCTGCAAAGACTTTAGCTAGTCTCATGCGATATAAGAAGACAAGAAAGGAATGGGTAGCTGTTTTGGAGAGTAAGATGTGGGAATTAGAAGAGGTTGAACAACAGGTTTTTCAATCACTATTACTTAGCTATTATGATTTGACTCCAGCTGTGAGACAGTGTCTTTTATTTTGTGCTGTTTTCCCAAAAGATTATAAGTTTGATAGAAATGAGTTGATTGAGTGTTGGATGTCACAAGAATATCTTAGTATGAAAGGAGATAGAGAAAAAGAAAGAATGATAGGCCAACAGTACTTTGATAACTTGGTGATGCGTTCTTTTTTCCAAGATTTTGTTAAAGATGAGAACGATGATATTAAAAGCTGCAAAATGCATGATATTGTGCATGACTTTGTACAGTTTCTCACCAAAAATGAATGTTTTATTATGGAGGTGGTGGAAAGTGGTAAAGAGAAAAACATGGTAGTCGATAATAAGGTTCGTCATTTGAACCTAATGTCAACATACAATGATTCGTTTCCTGTTTCAATCTACAATAATTGCAAAGGATTACGGACTCTGGTGATTTCTACTTCGGAACTTCTTCCGTTACCCTCGGACTCATTTTCAAAATTGAAAAGCATTAGAACATTAAAGTTGAATAAAAACTCAATCAAAGAAGTTCCCGAAAGTATTGGTGGACTAGTACATTTGCGGTATCTCGATTTAAGTTTTAATCGGGAATTGAAAGAATTACCCGATTCTGTGGGTAATTTATTCAATCTGGAAACATTGCGTCTCATGTGCTGCTATGGACTCAGAGAAGTACCGGTGAGCATAAGAAAGTTGGTTAACTTAAAGCATCTTTATATTTCGGGGTGCGAATGGCTAAAATTACCAAAAGAGATTGGAAGATTAAGAAATCTGCAAATCTTAGATTGCTTGTATCTTCAAGACGGTGGCGAGGATGATGATGGAATTTTCAAGTTAGGGGATTTGGGAAACTTGGAGCAGCTTCAAGGGAGCCTTTACATAGCAAACTTGAAGTCAGCGAAAGACGGGAGTGAGGCTAAAAATGCAGAATTGGTGAACAAGAAGAACCTCCTTCATTTGACTCTACATTTTCGGTACTTTTCTGGAGATGCGGAGACAGCTAAGGATGAAGAAATACTGAATGGCTTTCAAGTGCATACAAATTTGGAGTCGTTGACTATCTGGAATTACCATAGTACCAACCTGTGTCCAAGTTGGATGATGAGCTGTCATAATCTGAGAAGGCTTGAATTCTATGATGTTCCATTTTGTGGGGTTTTGGCTCCTCTGGGGAAACTCCCGTCCCTTGAATATTTAGAGATAAATAGGATGGAGAGTGTGAAAAAGGTGGGAGTTGAATTTTTGGGAATAACAGGCGAAACACCGCAAACATTAATAAACTCGTTTCCCAAATTGAAAGAACTCAGATTTCATTTCATGGAAGAGTGGGAAGAATGGGAAGGAGTAGAAGAAGAGGATTCTAAAATTACAATAATGCCATCTCTTTTGAAGTTAGAAATCGGTTACTGCGAGAGGCTGAAAGCACTGCCAAACTTCCTTGGGAAGGCCCCGCTGCGAGAATTACGCATCGACGGAGAGGATTGTCCGATTCTTGCACAATGGTTCGAGACGAGATGTGGAATGGAGTGGTTGAAAAATGCGTCTCAAGTCCAAAACATCAAAATTCAGGGCAAGTTTGTGAAAAAAGACGGAGTTGGAATGTTGGAGGAGGATTGATGATGGGCTCTGCCTGCCTGCCTATCTGATCCACCTCTTGGGCTAAAATGGTAATTTTGAACACCTTCCTTGCAATTCTTTAATTTTATTTAAGTTTCTAGTTGCTTGCTACCATCTTCAGATTTACTTATTTTCTTTAAATTAAAATATCAACAACTCTCCGAATCTCAACAACTCTTTATCCAAGAAACTTCACCTAATTTTTCTTATTTTCTATTTTTGGTTTTTATCACTCTTGGTCTTACTAAACTATTTCTACGATGGGAAGCATTGACAGGGAAGAAGCAGAAGTGGATCTTAACCAATCTCTGTTAGCAGAACCATCTCAAGCCAAACACCTTCCATCCAGAGTTTGGATAGAGTCCAAGAAACTGTGGATGCCTTATCAATTTGGTATACTACTTTCATTTTTATTTTTATTTTTTCTTGCAGTTTCTTCTAATTTGGTAAATTTTCAATTTCACCATACTGTAACTGTAAGTTTTAAGTTTTAACCTTCTCTTTTTTGTATTGTTTGCATTAAAATTTGCAGCATGACTATAAATGGGTGGGAGCTCATGATTCATCTAGCCTTCTTTGCTGGAACAGGGTAACTATTTTTGACCTCTCGCCACTTTTTTTAATAAACAATTGAAGGAAAAAAAAACTTAACACTTTGCTAGAAAAAGAGACATCTATTCTCTTATTTTGCTTATGGTAAATATAATTATAATGTTCGTTCTTTTTGGTCATGAACTCACAGAGTAAGGGTAGCAAATGAGCTGGGAGCTGGAAATGGTCAGGAAGCAAAATTTGCAGCAAAAGTTTCTGCTGCGGAATCCACCTTTATTGCCCTATTCTTCTGCATACTTATTATTATATTCCGTGATCAGTTTGGGTACATATTCACTTCCAGCACTGATGTCCTCCAATCAGTTAGTGAAATGTCTTACCTCTTGGCAGTCACAATTCTACTCAACGGTGTGTTCAACCCGTCTTATCAGGTTAACTTTTAACCATCGTAAATTTTTTAACTACAAATTAGTCATAGGTATACGATCTTTACTTGCCAAAAGATATATACAACAGTTGCTTTAACGTACACGAATAGTTATTTGTTGTACATATATGCGGATCTGACTATAAGTTTCACCTAAATCAACGGTTAACGATGGTTCAGTGCTTAACTTGAATATTGCGATGCCTAAAATGTTAGGGTTTTTTCCTTGGTATTAAAAGATGGTGTTTAATTTTACAGGAGTGGCTGTGGGCTCAGGATGGCAAGCATGGGTGACAACACGACGTGATTGGGAAAAGGAGCTATGATTCGAACATAAAAGTCGATTCATTTCTTAAAAAAGCTCCACTTATTTCTTTCAACCAAAAGAAATAAAAGAAGAATTAAGGGAAGCTGAAGCTAACATTTTATGATACAATATTGGTTGACCAATATGTTTTGGACTTTGGGGTTGTGGGTGCTGCTGTTGCTTTGGATATCTCATGGTGGGTCGTGTGTTTTGGGCTGCTTGGCTATGTGATGAAAAAAGACGGAGTTGGAATGGAGGAGGATTGATGATGGGCTCTGCCTATCTGATCCACCTCTTAGGCTAAAATGGTAATTTTGAACACCTTCCTTGTAATTCTTTAATTTTATTTTAGTTTCTAGTTGCTTTGCTACCATCTTCAGATTTACTTATTTTCTTTAAATTAGTATTTATGATAATTAACTATGATAATTGTTATCAATTAATACAAAGGAGGAATTTAAATTAGTTATTGCATTTGTTTTCAATTCTTTTCAGTTGGTTAACTGCATGCTAATTCATTGATTTTTATAAAAATTAATTATATATTGTAGGTATAAACACATTCCTTGGGTTTCCTTAATGAGTTTTGATCATTCTTTGATCCTTTGGAATATGGAGAATCAACACAGCAGGTCTTTACCAAGTATTTTCTCCAAATGCACCTATCTAGTATGTTTCTGTTCGCAGGTACGTAATCAAGTCGTTTCTAATTCGAGCAAGTCTCGTCTCTGCTACATAAATCCTCATTTGATTTCAATTCATCATGCTTACCTCCTAGTCCTCGTGTTTTATGCCATTTTGTTATGCAGGGTCTCTACTTAGGACAATAACCTGGTGCAAATCATGGATGCATGGATGTCACCTCCTCAGTCCTCACAAGGGTCACCTTTACTTTCTGTGGCTGTGGATCTTTCTGGTTTATTTATCTATTCCGAAAGTTTTCCTTCTTCTTCCCGTCCTTTTTCTATCCAGTTATATGCTCAATATTTGTTGTCATTTTTTATGGCCCTGAATATGGAAGAAACTGAACATGAATTGATCAAATTCTTTCAGGTCCTCAAACTTGACACATCCGAGCTTTAGAAGAAACGATGCAGTTCTTCACATGGAGTTCGTAGCTTCGGTTGCTGTAATTAACTTGATCAAGATGGAATTGGACAGAGTCAGAGTGTCATGAGATCCATAGAAGACTTGTTCATCTCCAAGGTATCTTTGCCTCAAATTGTACAAATTGAAAATATCAACTTTATTTTTTCCTAACGCAACAATTCAAGGAACATACATGTTTTGCTTCAAACCTTGTGCTTACATATGTTTAAGGTTCTGTTTTGAAAGTGTAATCACATTCTAATCCCGTTGAATTTCTCATTAACCTTGTAGTGTCTAAAACGACGACCATGTTTGTGGAGACTCTATTAAGTGGAAATTACTCCAGTTTCTTAATGCACATGCAAAATATTTCTTCAGGAGCAACAGATGTGCGAATTGTGCTAAGATCGTTGCATCTCAATTAAGAGGCACAGTGGATAGGATTTTGATTGGTAAGTAAACTGTAAATATTGCAAGGTAATATTTTTGGAATTTGGAACCAAACTGGTCTTTCAAGCCTTTTTTATTAAATTAGATTCATGAAATAGTTTTGTCACTTTATTTGTATTCACGGTTTAAAAATCTGAGGTCCTTCGGATTGTGTGCAGAATCAACAGATGTTGTGATAAAGAACACTATCACCACAACCTGCAATGGCTATGAGAGCCCTCAGCGTGGTCCACCCTTGCCATGAGCTATATGCTTTGAAGGTTGGAATCTCCTTTACTTTGGATGCTTCTTGTGTGCCTCTTGTGGTGAAATCTGACTCTTTGACAGCAGTTCAAATGATTAACACTGATGAGGAGTGCTTGCATCAAAAGGGGTTTTGGTGGATGAGATTCATCGCCTAATTGAGTTATGATGAGACCCCAAACTACTGTTCAGTATGTTCCTCGTAAAGCTAATGGACCTGCTCACCGGATTGCTCTGTTTTGTCTTCGTGAATCAGCCTATCATTTTGGACGGATGATGAGTGCTATCCTTGAGCTTGACTACTCATGGATTGCATTCGAGATGATTGTCCTTCTCTGCATTCCTTTGCTTGATTTTGTTGTAATTTCTTGGCATGTGTGGTACTCTTTCCTACCTCGAAGTTTTGTCCCATGTGGTTTTCTTCGGGAAGGTTTTAACGAGGCCACTTCAATCATGCTGATTCTATTGTTCTTGATTATTTGAATGAATTACCATTTGCCTTTAAAAAAAGAATTTCAAGTGATTGAGCTTTTAGTTCTGTAAGGTGACACCGAAAGACATTGCGAAGGTTCAGATTGGTGTTTATTTAGGGTTTGCACCTTTGTGTCCCCATGAAAATAACCAAGAAAATAGTAACGGGAATAAAATAACCACCTTTTAATTTTCCTTTTGAGCCAAGTCCAATATGCTTTAAAATGTCCATTCTAAATCTAGTGCATAAAATTGGCAATGTATTATTTAATTGACACTAGAGGATCCCATTTTCTCAATCCCATTCTTGGAGCATGTCAAACTTAACAAACCCTCATTGTCAATTGAAGTTAAGTTAAAGCCAATAATGACCTTTAAAAAATTAAATTATATTAAAATTAAAGAGGTTATCTTGGTAGATAGACGATGATGTACTTTGTTTTAGCTATTTTTGTTTTTGTTTTTTTCTTTGCTTTTTTATGTTGATTGTCTTAAAGGAGATATTGGTAATTCGCCACTTTGGGGTTGTGGGTGCTGCTGTTGCTTTGGATATCTCATGGTGGGTCTTGTGTTTTGGGCTGCTTGGCTATGTCACATGTGATGGAAAAAGACGGAGTTGGAATGGAGGAGGATTGACGATGGGCTCTGCCTATCTGATCCACCTCTTAGGCTAAAATGGTAATTTTGAATACCTTCCTTGTAATTCTTTAATTTTATTTAAGTTTCTAGTTGCTTTGCTTCCATCTTCAGATTTACTTATTTTCTTTAAATTAGTAACTATAATAATTTTTATCAATAAATACAAAGGAGGAATTTAAATTAGTTATTGCATTTCTTTTCAAATCTTTTCAATTTAAAAGTCATTCTTTGATCCTTTGGAATAAGGAGAATCAACACAGCAAGTCTAGTATGTTTCTCCAGATGCACGTATCTATCTATCATGTTTCTTTGATAGACTTGGCAGCTGCCCTTGTTCTAATTCGAGCAAGTCTCGTCTCTGCAATATATATCCTCATTTCATTTCAATTCATCATACTTACCTCCTAGTCCTAGTGTTCTGTTCGAAGGATGAAGTCCAGAATCTGCTGGTTCAAATTTTACACGGACCTTTAAATTTTTAATGTGTTGATGGTCTTTGCTAAAATAATACAATCATCAATATTCTTTTCGTCCGAAGCGAACATATATAAGATTTGAACTCATAATCTTTTCTAATAAAGTGAAAACTAAATGTCATTGAACCGATTAGTCATCAACTACAATGATGGGAAGAAGTTCAATTCTTTTTCTCCTTGAAAAATTAAAGGGCATTCCAAGCGAAAACCCATGAAGTCATACAATTAAAATATGGAGGCCAAGGGGAAGCAAATTTCTCCTAATCTCAACAACTCTTCATCCAAGAAACTTCACCTAATTTTGCATAATATTGCGTAATGGCAGACAGTCCAATTTTTTTTATTTGAAGTTCTCTGCTTTGCTTTGCTCTTTGTTTAGTTTTTGGTTTCGGGAAGGCCCCATTTTACCAGATAATTAAATAAATAAAGGCAAGGGGAAGGTGGCTGGAGTGCTAAAATTCACCTAATGTTCCACAGCAAACATTTTTGCAACGACTCCTCAACGTCAAATTTACCTTTTCTCCACTATATCTCTGTCTGATCAAGTTTATATTTTCTATTTTTGGTTTTTATCACTCCTAGTCTTACTAAACTATTTCTACGATGGGAAGCATTGACAGGGAAGAAGCAGAAGTGGATCTTAACCAATCTCTGTTAGCAGAACCATCTCAAGCCAAACACCTTCCATCCAGAGTTTGGATAGAGTCCAAGAAACTGTGGCGAGTTGTGGGTCCAGCCATCGTCAGCCGTTTGGCTGGCTACTCCATGGGTGTTATTACACAAGCCTTTGCCGGCCACCTTGGTGTCGTCCAACTCGCTTCCATTTCCATTGCCAACAATGTCGTTCTGGGTTTCACTTTCGGTCTCCTGGTAATAATCAAACTCACTAAATGTCAGAGGGTGTTCGTGTAATAAATTTTATGTGTCATATAAGCTATTCCGACTTCAGCATATCCCAATCTTTATTTCTCTGTCTCTAACTTTTTTGTAATTTTTTTTAATGACAATTAATTAGCTAGGCATGGCAAGTGCGCTAGAGACACTATGTGGGCAGGCTTTTGGAGCAAAGAGGCACCACATGTTGGGGATATACCTACAAAGGTCATGGATTGTGTTGTTTTTCTGCTGCATTCTGCTGTTACCTATATACATTTTCGCCTCTCCGATCCTGAAACTGTTAGGGCAGGCCGATGACGTGGCGGAGCAAACTGGGGTGGTGTCTTTGTGGCTTCTGCCCTTGCACTTCAGCTATGCGTTTCTGTTCCCACTGCAGAGGTTCTTGCAGAGCCAGCTGAAGAACTTTGTGACTTTGTGGGTTTCCTTGGTGGTTTTAGTGTTTCATGCATTGATAAGTTGGCTTTTTGTGTATGTTTTGGACTTTGGGGTTGTGGGTGCTGCTGTTGCTTTGGATATCTCATGGTGGGTTTTGTGCTTTGGGCTGCTTGGCTATGTTACATGTGGTTGGTGTCCACTGAGCTGGACTGGTTTCTCCATGGAAGCCTTTTATGGGCTTTGGGAATTTGTCAAACTTTCTACTGCTTCTGGTGTCATGCTCTGGTATTACATCTCTCTCTTTTTTATTTCTTTCTTTGTTTTCTTGTAACCTAAAAGAGAATATTCATTTTTGTATGGGGCTTATAGCTTAAGTGATTAAGATTATTTATCTCTGCATCTGAAATCCTAGGTTCGATTCTCCACTCCCTGAATATTGCTTGTCTAAAAACATAGTAATAATATCCATTCTTACCAAGCACCTTTTGCTTTTAAAAGAATCACACTTAATCTCAAGCATTGCCGTTAATCATTTATGCAGTTTGGAGTTCTGGTACTATAGAATCTTGATATTGATGACTGGATACTTACAGAACGCGACTCTTGCTGTGGATGCCTTATCAATTTGGTATACTACTACTTTATTTTTATTTTTTCTTGCAGTTTCTTCTAATTTGGTAAATTTTCAATTTCACCATACTGTAACTGTAAGTTTTAAGTTTTAACCTTCTCTTTTTTGTATTGTTTGCATTAAAATTTGCAGCATGACTATAAATGGGTGGGAGCTCATGATTCATCTAGCCTTCTTTGCTGGAACAGGGTAACTATTTTTGACCTCTCGCCACTTTTTTTAATAAACAATTGAAGGAAAAAAAAACTTAACACTTTGCTAGAAAAAGAGACATCTATTCTCTTATTTTGCTTATGGTAAATATAATTATAATGTTCGTTCTTTTTGGTCATGAACTCACAGAGTAAGGGTAGCAAATGAGCTGGGAGCTGGAAATGGTCAGGCAGCAAAATTTGCAGCAAAAGTTTCTGCTGCGGAATCCACCTTTATTGCCCTATTCTTCTGCATACTTATTATTATATTCCGTGATCAGTTTGGGTACATATTCACTTCCAGCACTGATGTCCTCCAATCAGTTAGTGAAATGTCTTACCTCTTGGCCATCACAATTCTACTTAACGGTGTTCAACCCGTCTTATCAGGTTAATTTTTAACCATTCATAAACTTTCGTAGGTATACGATCTTTGCTTACCGAAAAATATGACAGTCACTTATATGTACATAGATGGTTATTTGTTGAATATATATATTCGGATCTAACTATAGGTTTCACCTAAATCAACGGTTAACGATGGTTCAGTGCTTAACTTGAATATTGCGATGCCTAAAATGTTACAGGAGTGGCTGTGGGCTCAGGGTGGCAAGCATGGGTGGCATATATAAATCTTTTCTGCTACTACATTATTGGGCTCCCACTTGGATTTGTAATGGGATGGGTCGCCAACTTAGGTGTTATGGTATGTTTGGCTCCTAATTTTGGGTGCTCTGATTCATATAATATATACACTTCTAATGAGCTCTTTCAAGCACTAATTTACTACATTATCTCAGTATGCTTGTGGAATTTTTCTTTTATAAATACAGGGTATATGGGGTGGGATGATCCTTGGTGGAACTGCTGTCCAAACAGTGCTGTTGGCCATCGTGACAACACGACGTGATTGGGAAAAGGAGGTATGATTCGAACATAAAAGTCCACTCACTTCTTTTCACAGAGAGAAAAAAAAAGCCCACTTATTTGTTTCAACCAAAAGAAATAAAAGAAGAATTAAGGGAAGCTGAAGCTAACATTTTATGATACAATATTGGTTGACCAATTTGTGCAGGCTCAAGAGGCCAGCCAGCGTGTGAATAAGTGGTCAACTCCTAACCCAGATGATCAAACAGAGGAACAACAATAACAGCATATTTTATTCTTATTGCTACTTGCACACACTGTGAGCTTGCTTAATTTCAAGCAGCACAAGAAAAAACATAATAGAGTAACATAAAATTGTCATGCCATTCCCATCAATCCCATTTTTTCCCAACATTTCGGTTTTTTTTTTTTACATTGGGAGGAAAGAAACTCTCGAATTTCGATCATGGGTGCCAAGCAGGGGAAAAGAGAGAGGGCCACAACAACTGTGGTAATCCCGCCCGACCTGGGTTACATTTTGGTCACTGTTTTATTTTTTGCAATGTGCAAAATGCAAGCCACATGGATGCGATTTAAGTTATTATTAAGCTAAGTTTTCGAACAGTAACCAAGGAATCAGTATAACAATGACCCTTCAAAATAAAGGTCATTGCAATAGCTTGGCCGGAGCATTTATAAAACTTGCCGTCCAAAGAAGACAAATCTTAGCAGCCTGAGCTCATCCACAAGCAAACTAATAGATGAAAACACAATCAACATCAATGTTAACTTTGACGCATTTGGCAAAGACGTGACAAAGGTAACCCATCAACCTCCTCTCTACAAAAAGACTAAAATATGCAAAAGCATCCATGAGAAAAATCAAACCCTAGCTCAAAATTTCATTCTCTCTTTTGTCCAAACTTTTCTCCAAAGAAAAAACAAACCTAATGGAAGTTTTTGTCCAATAACAACAAAGCCACCTTTGTTATTATTATCCCCACAAAGAAAAAAAAGGTGGTCTTTGAACCATTATGTCGGCATACATCACAATTTCACATCCACATTGTTCAAATTGTGACATCAGATATTGATTCACACTTCACACCAAAAATCAAACCATATATAGAGATCAATAAGTATTTTATGTTAATGATTGATTACATCTACTGAATGCAATCCAACAGCTAAGAATAGAAATATGTAAACCAATCATTAACTTAAATTCTTATTGAAGAAATTGTCATAAAGACAAAAGATTCATCTTTTCTTTCAATTATACGAAAAAGATAAATATTTTGTTCAATCTAGAAACATTTACATACGAGTGATTCATATTAAATAGCATAATTCACATATAATTAGAAAGTGCACCGCTACAAAAACTCGACCCGGTCCAATAATCTACTTTTTCAAACAGCTATCGGGGTTGGGCCAAAATCCAACCACCCACCACCAGATGGTAACAGCAACAACTGTCCTGGTTCAAGAAATGGGTTCCAAAACTGCGTCGACTCGGCCGACTCGTCCCTCCCCACAAACCTCACCAGGCTCTTCTCTTCTTTCTTCTTCTTCGTCTCCACAAGCATGGCCTTGGTCTCCCGAACCGTATCCCAAAACCCATCATTCCTCTTCCTGTTTAGAAACAACAGCATCAACTTCCCCTTGCAACCCTCCAGCCTCTCCAACGCGTCAATCAACTGAATCAACTCATCAGAATTCACTCCCTCGACTGAGTCGACTCTGTCCCCAACTTCTTTCACTCGGGCCAAGATTTCTCGCTGAACAGACCTGTAATCTTCCGCTGCAGCTCTTACAACCTCATAAACCAAATTGTTCCTCTGAAGGTCCAAAGAATTTGGTGCGTCGCAAATTCGTACCACAAATTCTACAAGAACTTCAATCTCCACTGCTAAATCCGAGTCCAGTAACGCAAGTGCCTTCTCTTCTTTATCTTTCTTCGATGAGTTGAGATAATACCCAATTGCTCTAGACACCATCAAATTCTGCTCAACCACCCCAGCGTACCATCTAACCCAAGAAGAAAATTCCCACATGACCAAATCAGAATTGTCAGAAAACATAGAGAGGTTCAAGAAATTGTGTCCCCCAAAAGAAGGGTAAAAAGCAAGCTGGTCTTTGAGAATAAATGACCCTTTCGCTATAATGTTGTGGAGGGTCAAGAGGCACTTTAGGGCAACAAATGCGCTGTGTGTTCCGTGGAGGCGATCCATGAGCGCCTCAATGCATGCGCATGCAGTGATACGTGAGGAGTGCCCAAGAGCAAGCACCGAGGCGATCTTCTCCTCGGAAGGCGGCCGTGACGGGTGGTGGGTGGTGGCGCGTAGGACGGCAACGTGCACTGACGAGGCATGGCGGTTGATGTATAGAGTGGCCTTGAGGATCGAGACTTTGTCTTTCAAAATGCCGATGAGCTTGATACGGGCCATGGAAGATGGACGAATTGATTGGAAAAGTGAATGAAGAGGGAGTTGGGAGAGGGCGGAGGGTATAAATTGACAGGCAAACGCGGTTTCATAATTTGGTGGTGTCCGTGTGTGTGTGTGCAAACTGTGCATGGCTTTTTACCGTATGGGAAGATAGGCTTGAACGCTTTTTAAGTGTGTTCTTACACTTATGTGTAAGTTGGAGCGCGAATAACGCTTTGAGTATAATAAAAATTAATAAATATAAATCTAATTGTTATGGCAGCGTAAATATAGAACGGTTTACAAATAAGATATAAGGTAAATGTTTATGGCGTCCATGTCCACAAATGTTACAGTGGGTACTTTTCTGTCATGTGTCAAGTTGAGTGGCCGACACTGGTTTTTTTAAGAATGGGTTATATGATTTTATTTACGATTAAGATTATGTAACGCATGATAAATTTTAATTGAACGGTATTTGTCATTTACTTTGACACACGTAACACGGAAATACTTATTGAAGTTTTTCACTCTTTTGTCTACTTGGATTCTTTCTCTTCCGTATATATTCCTTAATTATTTTGAAATATTCAAATCTGCAATACCGAGGATGTTGTACTTTTATATTTTTAATGTTTTATGAAAGGGTATGTTAATGTTTGAGTCGACCATTATAGGATTCATTGACGTAGTCCAAAGTCCAATTAGATGTTTCATCGTGCTTAGTCTACCACAAAGAAAAATGATATAGCATTAATATTGATCCTTGTAAATCTTAAAAAATAAATTATATATCTAAGGATTCCCTAAATGTTTTGATTTTCGACTAGAGATATAACCTCTAAGGATTCAAGAATCAAATATTTGGATGTTGAATCCAGAAACATGAGATGAGATCATCGAAACAAATTCATAGCATATGAAATAGTACCAATAACTATGGTAACTTAAAGGTAAATGGCGTGTATATATGGACTTTTCCTCCTCTTAAATTGTCCTATAAAGCGATGACAAGTATCTTATTTAGGTTTTTCACACGCGTATTATGTAGCTCCTCTCATTCTAGCATATCGACATCGATCTTTCTTAGGCTAGAAGGGAACCTGCCTCACATTTAATTTCAATCGTTTTCGTCTGACAGAATTGACTAATACAATTGACAAATGGAATATATCAGAATATGAGTGACCATATATAAGACCGTCCAGGTATCGACAAAATTGGCACCGTATCAAAAGAAATGGGCCCAAGTAGGAAATACAGTTACAAATGCCCGAAATTGGAGGGTTGAGCCCATATTGGTGAGAATGGGGCCGAAGCCTAAATGGTTTTTTTTTTTTCCCTCCCCTTTGGAACCTTAAGCCTTTATCTTATCGTAGGGTTGTATTTCATTGTGTTCTATACATTCACATATTATGGTTCCTCACCAATTGAGGGTTAGTTGAGTTTGGTAAAGATCGTTTTCTTCACTATCAAGGCTTAGGCTTGAGTCCCGCTATTGAAAATCCCTTTTAATGGGTAATCTCTAAAAACAAAAAAAAGGGTTAAGGCCCTCACCGTAAGTCCTCAAAAAGACCTTGGTATGCTCTGATCCTTGGATGGGATAGCCTCCCCTCCTTCTGAACTTTGTTCACCCCAAAAACAAAAAACAAAACAAAACAAAAAACAAAAACAAAAAACAAAAAAAAACTTATATATATATATATATATATATACACATAGAGCTTCTATTGAGGGATTCCTCAAATAAGTTTATTTGTGGGACACTCTTGTAGGGTCTACTTTGCATTGTATTTCGCTAATCTAAACAATCTATTTTGTATATATTCATTCAAATATCATCTTTACAAAAAATCACTTTAATCCAATATCAATTAATCACTTAATTAAATTATTAAAATTTTATTACTTTCTTGAATCACTGTGTTCATTAATTTAGTATGACACAATTAGATGTCTAAATGGTTTCCAATTTGTCTAATTTTTTGTAAGAATGATTTATGAATGAAAACCTAAAAAATAAATGGTTTGGATCATTGGAAAAAAAATTATAGGGTACCCTAAAGAGCGTCCCTCAAATAAAATTGTTTGAGGGATCCCTCAATAGAAGGGGATTGTATATATATAAGATGGCAGGTAAACACACTTTAAAAAACTTCTAGTCCCTATTGCTAATTGAACATAAGAACTCTACAGAGAATAGAAGACTTTTCTTTTGAGCTTTCATCAATGGCAGGTAAGTACTATATATTCTGAGTAATATTTTTATTTGATTCAAGATCTTTTCCTTGATGTGATTCTATGTGTGTATAGGGTTTAAGGAATTTATGTAATTAGTTTACAGTAGTAACTTCCATTTATTGAAAGATTGTCTTCCATTTGATTTTAGAGTATTTGCTTCCACTTATTTGAAGATCTTTCCATTTTTATCTTTGCATATACATTATGGTTTGTGGACAAATTGTAATTTAAAAGAAAAGTTTCTTGACATTGGTATAAAATATAAGACAAAAGGCCGTCATGAATTTTGGAGAAATGTGGGGCGAGGAAGACTCCCTCAACATTGTGTTAGAACAAATTAGTTTTTAGTCTAATGGTACAAGTAGTTCTCTTTCTCATGTCAATGAAAATTACAAATTCAAATCTCCATTTTTCCGTTGATTTAAAAAAAAAAAAAAAGGTATTGAGCATGACGAGAAACATAGTATATTCCTCACATGCCACCAAACAGCCTAATCAGTCATCGCAACCGTTTGGAAATTAGATCATGACTTGAAGAGTTGACACAAAGCTAAAAACAAATCATCCTGTTTCAGGATCCGTTCGCTTTCAGACATATGCAAATGCAGCTTGGATTACATCGAAGTCTCATTCATTTAATGTCGTTTCTTAATTAATTTGTAAATGTGATTGAAAACAAATGTAGTTTTAAGTTGTTTGGTATAAACTTTGACTTTCAACACATCATATGGATATAAA